TTTTTGCTTTATGTTTTTTTGATTTTTCTGAAATTTGTCTTGATTCTTTGCACCTTTGTTTTGGACCTTCATTTTCTTGTCTTTTACCTTCTTTCCTATATTCGTTACATCTGCAATATTACTATTAAAAATATTTAAGGATGAACGACTTCCTCCATTTTTATGTAACTTTTTCAATTTTTGCTTTAGATTCTGTGTACTTTTCTTAGGTTTATTTTTAAATTTTATTTTTTGATCCTTAATCTTAACAGGTTTGTTATTCTTCTTTTGATCAATATGAAAATAAATAAAATTTATGTAAAAATGTATACTATATTTTCTTGAATATTTTCAATGTGTAATTCTTAAAACGTGGGACCATTCGAAAAATGGAATGACAATTAATTTATAAAAAATACAAGAAAACTCTTTAGCCAACCTAATAATTTACCTTAGAAATATTTTCTTTGTCAAGATCTTTATGTGTCTTCTTTTTATTAGAAGTATCCCTCTTTAACTTTTTTCCCATTTTGCTTACTTGCACGTGCACTTTTCAGTCAGGAAGTGCTGCAATTTTTATTTCGTGTAATTTATGAAACAATCGCACATCTGATCACCGTTACCAAGCATTCATTGTTATTTCTTGCCACGTGACTCCATTCATGACGTCACGCATGAGCAGTTCAGCAGAGTAGAAGTAGAGAGCAGCGTAGTCGACCGACGCAACGTAACTAATCGCATACATGAGAGCATTCTTGGCACTCCTATTTTCACCCCTCTCTGCTGAACTGCTCATGCGTGACAATGTAATGCTAGAATGTTATGCTCGTTACAATATAATGCTAGAATACAATTTGAATTGTGAGTTTCTTTTTAATTCCTAATAGAAAACGCCGGTGACTCCATCTCGTATTTATCAAACAGCTGCACATCTCTAGATAATACCATTTATGTAACGAAATCTGTAAGCAGGCACCGACTTGCCAAATCCGTAAGATCACGTGACTATCCTAGCCTCTTAACGATGTCGGTATTTCAGATCGTGTAACATGAAACTCCATATGGTGACCAGTCTATTCTGATACTTTGTCTGTGGTACTAGATATGTTTTGTACAAGAAAAATATGTTATCGGAAACGTCATAGATGTCACGATGTGATAATTTTTCCACGATTTCCATCTGTCCATTAAAAATGTTTTCACGTAGTATGCGCAGCTATGCACGTACCTAAGTGTACCTAACCACGGAAGACGCGGTAGAATAATGTCGGATGTAAAGTAGTCGAACGCGTTCAGCGTGGAATTTCGTAAATTATATTATCATGGAAGATATTAATGATAAGTTTTTCTACGTGTACAGTTCATCTTTAGATACGAAGATACAAATTAAAATGTAAGATTCAATTGTACGTGTGTCGAATACACTAAACGTCAGTATCAGCTGGTATCGGGTTACTATAATGACCACGTTATGAAATATTTTAGTAACGAAAACAAGTGGATCATTAACAGTACCGTTGAATATGCGATCGGATTACAACATATAATCCTGATGACGAATAGACACTTAAATTTTTAATCACCGTACACACAACTTTACAAAGAATCTTCTTTACGTAAATTATCTTAATACATTAGAATTTTTTTCAGAGGAACATTAGAAGGCAAAAGGCAAAGACCAGAGTATGATAAGTTACTTATAGACCCCTTATTAAAATATTCTGGTCTATATGGTGTTAATGGCGGACGCGGAGATTTATCTGCCTCTCTACAGGTGTGGGCTAGTGGCAGACCTCTCGCTTTACCTGTCCACACAGCTTACAAACATTTTACTTCACGTTGGAAGTATGTATAACATTTTGTATAATGTCGTTGAACATCGTAAAAACTTGATAAAGACGTAACTCTAAAAATAATCGTGTCAGATATCTTTCTGTAAATTATCGACTTTCGTTTTTCTTGTACTCCTTTTTATTATAATTTCAAAATTTGAGTTTTCTCATTTAACTATGCCAGTATAATTATGTACTAGTTTTACCATTTCTTTATATAGTTTTCATAATTAAAAACATTTCTCCATTTTTGGCAAGCTTTTGAAATCAAGAGTTTCATATAATTATTTGTTAATTTCTTTATAGCTGGAATCAATGGGTGACGCTACCCATTTCATATTCTGATTTACCAAGGGATGCTCAGTTATGTATAAGCCTTTATGATTGTGCCGGACCTGGAAGGCAACTCCCAGTGGGAGGTACCACAATATCTTTATTTGGGAAACATGGCGTATTTCGACAGGGAATGCTAGACCTCAGAGTGTGGCCAGGAGTAGAAGCAGATGGTAGTATGCTGTCTAGTACTCCAGGAAAAACTAGGGATCATGGGAAAGAACAAATGCAGCGATTAGCAAAACTTGTGAAGAAACATAGATATGGGCAAATGAATAAAGTTGATTGGCTGGATAGATTAACATTCAGGGAAATTGAACTGATTAATGAAAGAGAGAAGAGAGCATCTGAGTATTTGTACTTAATGATTGAGTTGCCAGAAGCTACCATGGATGGTATACCGGTAGGTAAAACTTGATCATGATCCATAAATTTATTGATATTAGAATCAAAAAGTTCAAATTTTATTATTATGTATTAGTTGCGTATCGCTTTGTCAAATTGTATTCAATTTCGTATTACACTTTTTTTTTTATTATATTAATATATAATATTAATATAATTAATATTAATATATAATCTTTTACTTTAGTACTCCATAGTATATTACGAGAAGGATGGAGATGAAGTTGTACAACACAGATCACAACCAGATGTGGTAACCCTTCCTGATTATGAGATTTTACAAGTAAATCTAGTTATTTAATTATTCTTTACACAAAAGTATTTTCAAACTTTCAAAAATATTTCTTAATAAATGTATCAGCTTTTTATCATCAGTATATTATTATTATTAGGAAAATCTTGTGGAAGCGAAACATCATAAATTGGCTCGTAGTTTACGTAGTGGAGGACATACGAGAGAATTAAAACCAACTTCGAGTGTACGAGATGCTTTAAATATAATATTAAGTTATCCCCCGACAACAGCACTGTCTACCGAGGAACAGGATTTAATTTGGAAATACAGGTTTTATTTATCCAGTCAAAATAAAGCTTTAACGAAATTTGTTAAATGCGTGAATTGGAAAGTTGTTGGGGAAGAACGACAGGCATTAGAAATGTTGGCACTGTGGGCTCCGCCGGACCCAGAAGATGCGTTAGAATTGCTTGGACCAGCATTTACTCATCCAGCTGTTAGAAGATATGCCATAGCCCGATTAAATCAAGCCCCAGACGATGACTTGATGTTATACTTGTTACAGTTGGTACAAGCTTTAAAGTATGAAGATTTTGAAAGTATTAAAAGAGCACATCAAATTTTAATGAAAGAAAAAGAATCCGAAAAAGTTGAGAAAATAGATAGAGATACTCAGATTCATGATTCTTCTTCAACACCTATAATAAATGTAAGTATTCTCACAGCTTGTGTCTACAAATAGTGTTATAAAATAGAAATCGAATTTTTGACTTATTACAAATAGTATGCTTAATTTGCAGTTCAATGAATCGGAGAGTGGGAAATTCTCAATAAATCAAGATTCCCTTATGGATTTAGCATCTTTTCTGATCACTCGTGCATGTCAGAATACCACATTGGCAAATTATTTTTACTGGTATCTTTCAATCGAGTGCGAAGATCAAAATGACCCAGCCATAAGTGTGAAACAAGACACACGCGTTAAAGAAATGTACATTACCGTAATGGCAATGTTTTCAACAATGCTAGCTCAAGGTAATGCTATTTGGCAAAAAAGAAGAGCATTTCTCTCACGCCAAAAAATATTCATCGACCAGTTAGTAGCACTTGTGAAAGCAGTTGCAAGGGAAAGCGGTAACCGAAAAAAGAAAACTGACAGACTCAGAGCTTTACTGGCAGATCCTGATCCAACTTTTAAAATAAACTTTTCGAATTTTGAACCAATACCTTTCCCCTTGGATCCAGAAATTTGTATTAAAGGCATCATTCCGGAAAGGTACAGTAACTTTTTACTTTCAATTTTAGAAAATATACATTTTTAATCATTAATTTTATTGCTTTTAGAGCGAGTCTTTTTAAGTCAGCACTTATGCCTTCAAAATTAACATTTTTGACAACGGACAATAGCGAATATATTGCGATTTTTAAACATGGCGATGATCTGCGACAAGATCAATTAATCTTACAAACAATAGCACTTATGGATAAATTATTAAGAAGAGAAAATCTAGATTTAAAACTTACACCGTACAGGCAAGTATTTATGAAATCGTTTATGATGTATTGTTATTTAAAGTGAAAATTAATTTATTTCCAGAGTACTTGCAACAAGTACTAGACATGGGTTTTTACAATTTATTGAATCTACGACGGTTGCAGAAGTTTTAGCTAGCGAGGGTTCTATATTAAGCTTTTTTCGTAAACATCATCCTTCCGAAACTGGGCCCTACGGTGTTGTACCTGAAGTTATGGATACTTATGTGCGAAGTTGCGGTAAATACATATTTTTAGAAGATGATTTAGGTTACTATGATTTACATAAACTGCATAACAAACTTATATTTTAGCTGGTTACTGTATTATTACATACGTGCTCGGTGTTGGTGACCGGCATTTAGATAATTTGCTTTTGACAACTTCAGGTAAAACTTTCAAATTATAAGATAAAAGCGTTGATAATTATGAATAACTTAACCGATATTTATATTGCAGGAAAACTCTTTCATATAGATTTTGGTTACATTTTGGGTAGAGATCCAAAACCTTTACCACCACCGATGAAATTAAGCAAAGAAATGGTCGAAGCAATGGGAGGTGTAGGATCGGAACATTATCACGAGTTCCGAAAACAGTGTTACACTGCGTTTTTGCATTTGCGCAGGCACGCGAATTTAATATTAAATCTATTTTCGTTAATGGTTGACGCCAGTGTACCAGACATAGCGTTAGAGCCAGATAAAGCTGTGAAAAAAGTTCAAGATAAACTGCGTTTGGATTTGAGTGATGAAGAAGCAGTGCATTATGTGCACAATCTTTTGGACTTGTCGGTGACAGCTGTGATGGCAGCGTTAGTGGAACAATTACATAAGTTCGCACAGTACTGGCGAAAATAAATTTAAATCAACATACTGATCACGAAGACTGTGTTCCTTCCTATTGCAATTATAACATATTGTATATAAATGACCATACATCTATAAATCTAATATAATTTATTGTATTTTGGGATTACTTTAGGTAATAAATCTTTGATAATAACAAATAGTCGGGTCACACTTTTTACAATTTTTTAAACTGCATATTAATAAAAAAAACTTGAATCTTCATGTTTGCAAGTAATATCTTTTAAATAAGTCACTTCAATTATACTTCATAACAGATGGATGTAATTATAAGTGCTTCTTCCTGAATTATTGCAACAGCTCGAAGTAAAATTAAATGTTTCTTTTTTAAAAAAAGATTATAGTAATGGGATGTTATTAAATAATAAACCATCAAAAACATATTCAGTATACATATAATCTGTTACGTAAATATTCATATATTTATTTTATCTCTTAGTTACAATCTTGTATGTCGTGCACACTGTAGAAATAAAAAGCTAATTATTGTTAGTGATGAAAATATCAAATTGTTATTGATATAAGAACGCAGCAATGCTATTTTAATTAGTATCACTTTATGTCACTTACACTTTATAACTTCAATGAAGCAATATGTATTCTGTATATATATCTCAACAGACAATTGTATCAGAAAATTTTTGATAGAAAATGTAACTATAATTTTCCCATCTCGAATTATGATATATTATTCCTGTCTCTTATACACATCTAGATGTGTATAAGAGACAGGCATTGCTGCGTTCTTATATCAATAACAATTTGATATTTTCATCACTAACAAGATGTGTATAAGAGACAGGCATTGCTGCGTTCTTATATCAATAACAATTTGATATTTTCATCACTAACAAGATGTGTATAAGAGACAGGCATTGCTGCGTTCTTATATCAATAACAATTTGATATTTTCATCACTAACAAGATGTGTATAAGAGACAGGCATTGCTGCGTTCTTATATCAATAACAATTTGATATTTTCATCACTAACAAGATGTGTATAAGAGACAGGCATTGCTGCGTTCTTATATCAATAACAATTTGATATTTTCATCACTAACAAGATGTGTATAAGAGACAGGCATTGCTGCGTTCTTATATCAATAACAATTTGATATTTTCATCACTAACAAGATGTGTATAAGAGACAGGCATTGCTGCGTTCTTATATCAATAACAATTTGATATTTTCATCACTAACAAGATGTGTATAAGAGACAGGCATTGCTGCGTTCTTATATCAATAACAATTTGATATTTTCATCACTAACAAGATGTGTATAAGAGACAGGCATTGCTGCGTTCTTATATCAATAACAATTTGATATTTTCATCACTAACAAGATGTGTATAAGAGACAGGCATTGCTGCGTTCTTATATCAATAACAATTTGATATTTTCATCACTAACAAGATGTGTATAAGAGACAGGCATTGCTGCGTTCTTATATCAATAACAATTTGATATTTTCATCACTAACAAGATGTGTATAAGAGACAGGCATTGCTGCGTTCTTATATCAATAACAATTTGATATTTTCATCACTAACAAGATGTGTATAAGAGACAGGCATTGCTGCGTTCTTATATCAATAACAATTTGATATTTTCATCACTAACAAGATGTGTATAAGAGACAGGCATTGCTGCGTTCTTATATCAATAACAATTTGATATTTTCATCACTAACAAGATGTGTATAAGAGACAGGCATTGCTGCGTTCTTATATCAATAACAATTTGATATTTTCATCACTAACAAGATGTGTATAAGAGACAGGCATTGCTGCGTTCTTATATCAATAACAATTTGATATTTTCATCACTAACAAGATGTGTATAAGAGACAGGCATTGCTGCGTTCTTATATCAATAACAATTTGATATTTTCATCACTAACAAGATGTGTATAAGAGACAGGCATTGCTGCGTTCTTATATCAATAACAATTTGATATTTTCATCACTAACAAGATGTGTATAAGAGACAGGCATTGCTGCGTTCTTATATCAATAACAATTTGATATTTTCATCACTAACAAGATGTGTATAAGAGACAGGCATTGCTGCGTTCTTATATCAATAACAATTTGATATTTTCATCACTAACAAGATGTGTATAAGAGACAGGCATTGCTGCGTTCTTATATCAATAACAATTTGATATTTTCATCACTAACAAGATGTGTATAAGAGACAGGCATTGCTGCGTTCTTATATCAATAACAATTTGATATTTTCATCACTAACAAGATGTGTATAAGAGACAGGATATATTATTCATAGGTACATAAATCTTTTAATGTAACATCTTTAAGTGGAAGATATATATGCACGTATATTTATGCAGATACATTATATGTATACGTGCAATATAATGTACGTGCACAAATATATACATACCCAAAAAATTTAAGGGATGATTAATATTAACAATTTAAT